CAAGGGCGGCGCCGGAGGCCGCCGGGGGGGGGGGGTCACGGCGCGGATCCAAGAAAGCCGCGCGGAGCGGCAAAAGCGTATGCTTGTGCCGCTTTTTCTCTCCTTCGAGCCCCGCCTCTTCCCCCCCCCCGTCAATCACGTAATCGCCGCGCCGATCGCGCCCGACCCTTCTTCTCTCCACGAGTGGGACAAGGGGGGGGCCTTCGAAAAGAGAGGGCTCAGCTGGCGGGGGGGGGCCCCACGGGTAACTGAGGGCTGGATTGACCCTGAGTGCCAACCGCTGGCATCCTAACTGCCGTTTTCTTTCCTTTGGGGAGGACAGCCGAGACCGTGCCCCCCCCCCCCCGGGCGGAGAGGCGCCGGCCCCAGCGGGCCACGGGAGGCCCTCTCCGCCGCCCCGCCGGCGTCGTCGTCCGCCGCCGCCGCCGCGGTCGTCGGCGCAGCGTCGCGGGCGGTCGCCGCCCCCCTGTGATCGACTGCCCACCAGACCACCCCAACCCAACCCGAAGACGTGAATTTCTCGGGTTGGGGGGGGTACGGGTGCCATATGTGTTTTTTCAATATTCCTCGATGAGGCCTTCGGGTTGGGTTGGGGTGATTCAGTGGGTGGTGAGATGAGAAGCGGAATCGCACGACGACACGAACGCCATGCAGACGTGAAGCAGTGTGATGACGTTGTTTGTTTACCGTCGCCTTCGCAATCAAGCACCACAACGTTGCGCGCAGGACTGCGTGTGCTCGTCTGTAGCTCTGTGCCCGGCCTGGGCACCAGTCTGAAGCTTCTGGCCGCGAAGTCGGCCACCCCTGCGAGGCGGCGACGCCGTCGGACCGCATGAACGAGGATTCGCGGCAGGGATGCGGGGGCCTTGCAAGGCCATGCCAACACCTTTCGAGTGGTGCGCGGCCAGCGGAAGGGAAGGGCCCCCCCTTCCAAAAAAGAACGCAAACTTCCCGAGACTCCAAAAGGCTCCTCCGAAGCGCCCCAGACTCACGACACGTCCAGCATTAGCGCACCACCCGAAATAAACGTTGCGAGTCCTTTCTCTGTCACTGGCACTTAGATTGACGATCGCGCGATTGCTTGCACACAGAAGCCCAAGCAAACGAAACTCAATGGGGTTCTCTGGAGCCCGTGGGATTCCCAGCGCCGACCCCTGGAGCACTCCGACGTCTGAATAGATTCGACCCCACTGCACCCGACACGACACGGCCCCGAAGGCGCGAACCATTAAACGCGGCCGGAAGCCCCGAAGAACCCCTCAACGAAGCAGACTGTACCCTGGGCCGGCTCACACCAAGCCCTCCTTGGGGTCGGCGGCACAGGCAGCAGCCTTAAGATAGCTTAAACTAGTCAACACTCAAAAATAAGAAAACAAAAAAAAAACGTCCCCAAACTATTGTTTGACTATGTTTGAATACTCCTCCTGTTGAGGGACAGGCCCGACTTAATGCTGGTGTATACGGGACCCTGGTGTATACATGTTTCGTCGTTTCCCCGAGAAGAGGATAACACAAAGTATGCACTAGACCACCCCGACGTCGCCACCAATCCTCGAAAATCCCCAGGATAGAAAAACAAGCCGGCCACTGGCGCTGCATGTACTCCAGTCTCCACCACAGCACATCGAGGAGCGAGGAGGGGGAATCGAGTCGAGGGCCGAGGGGAAGGAAAAGAGACACCGGCCTTGCTGGCCCCTGACCCTCCCCTGCCCCCCACCCCCCCCGCTCGCACTTCGAGCACTTCTCTTATGTTGCTCCCGTCGTACTCAAAGACCACATCCCAGAAATAAATTCGAGCGCCCGGAAAAGTGTCGAAACAATGTCGGACGAGTGTCTCACAGGGCGCGACACGCGAAAGCCCTCGAGTTTCGGTACTCTTTTGGGGGGATCGGAATTCTTTCTCGTGATCAAGGCTAGGCTGGAATATCAGAACACTCCACCCTCTGTCGCCCCGTCCGTGCAGCACGGAAGCAAGGTTGTTACCAGTCTCTGGCCCCCGGGCCCTCCGGGTGCCCCGGGTGACTCACCACCAAATAGGGCCCGTAACCATTTTTGGGAGAGGACCTAAGTTAGGAGGGCCACAAGCATGAGGGATAGGGTGACTACCTAGCAGACCACCCCAACCCAACCCGAAGACCCGAATTTGCACAGAATTTCGGGTTGGGGGGCTAAGGGTTCCATCTGTGTTTTTTCAATGTTCCCCGACCCCCCCCCCACTGGAAATGGAGGGCTAATTGAAGCCTTCGGGTTTGGTTGGGGTGGTTCGGTGGGTGGTGACTCTTTGGGAGGGGACCTAAGCTAGGATGGCCAAAAGCAGTAGGGATAGGGCTTGTTCCCTACAAATGCATCACGCCAAACCGCCCAGAATTATCCCTAATGCAAGCACGGGGACCTCAATGAGGCTATTCGGGTTAAGGTGTTTATCTTCGATGACTGGGGACCGTCAAAAAAGGGCGCCGATGAAGAACTGGTGCTGGAGAAAGCCCTGGGGTCAAGGACCCGTTTCCGCCAGGCCCTCTTTCCTCCATAACGCTTCCCGTGCCATAAGCAGAATCTAGAAATTGCCACACGTAACGGCAGGTAGTACCGCGGGCGCTGTTTTGCCGATGTCGCCAGCTCCCCTGGCTGAGCGGAAGCCTGGCCAGTCGATCAGCGCCCTACTGCGTCCTGCGAGGGGACAGCGAGATACCTTACGCTCGCGGTCGGGGGCACGGTAGAGTTCGACGGGACGGTGAAACATACAGTGACGAGGATGGCGGTCATGAGAAGAGGTAGCAAGAGGATATAGTCGGAAGCTCAAGAGAAGGAGGCGCGGGAGGCGGAATAACGCACGGTGGAGGCGGAGGGGAACGTAATTGCTCAAATGACAAAGGATGAGGAGATGGACGAGAACACCCGTAAAGGCCGCCGCGCTGCTGGCTGGAGAAAAAACGCGACCGCTACTCGGCCGCGTTGGCGGGCGATGCGGCGACCTACCTCTTCTCCTCATCTCCTCCTGCCCTTCGCCCTGCACCTCCTATTAGCCCTTATCCCTCACCTTGGTCCTCCGCGTGCTCTTCGTGCTGCTGCTCATCCTCTTTATCCATCTTCTTCCCCTTCTTACTCAGGAACGCACCGAGGGACCCAACGTTCAGCGACGGCGATCGAACATTGGAACTGAACGATTCAACGAAATCCAGTGAGACCGATTGTACACTGCCGAGAAACTGCGAGACAGGCCCTAGACTCCCCCTGCTGCTCATAAGGCCATATCTTCATCCTCTGTTACCCCTATCCTCTTTATCCCTCCTGCTGCTCCTCATTATCCTCCTCCTCCTCCTCCTCATCAGCATCATCATCATCATCATCATCATCATCATCATCATCATCATCATCATCAGCATCATCATCATCATCATCAGCATCATCATCATCATCATCATCATCGTCATCGTCATCGTCATCGTCATCGTCATCGTCATCGTCATCAGCATCAGTGTCAGCATCATCATCATCATCATCAGCAGCAGCAGCAGCAGCAGCAGCAGCATCAACACACAGCCTGCTCGTCCTCCTCCTTCTGAGGATGCTTCCCCCTCCTCCTCCTCCTCCTCCGCCGCTTTCTGCTGATCCCCTGATTTCGCGTCCTCCTGCTTCTCTTGTGTTGCCCTCCTCCTGGCTTCCCCCTCCCCCTTCTGCCTCTTATTCACCTCCCCGCCTCCTCCCTCGTCCTCCTCAAATGCAGTCGGGCAGTCTGCGAATCCCCAGGAGACGAGGGAGAGCAGGAGGAGGAGGAGAAGGAGGAAGAGGAGGAGCAGGAGAAGGAGGTGGAGGAGACGACGAGGCTGAAGGAGAAGGAGGCGGCGGAGGAGGATCAGCAGTAGCGATACCTGAACGCCACCCTGTGCCTGCTACAGGGCCTCCTTCTTGCAGCCACGCCTTATCCTGCTGTTCCCTCCGGTACGGTTGGCGCTAGACAGTTAGCGCGCAACATCAGCACACGCACGTTATATCTGTGAAACGATGGCCCCTTTTGCGCACGCTGTCCTCATCCCGTCAATGTCGTCTTCAAGCGTGGCGCACTTACACCCAGGTCACCTCAAGTGAGGGCATCTCGGAGCAAGGGATTCCGACGATGTCTCAGGCTAAACGTGCCTGAGCATATCGCGGACCACATCTTGGAACCCATAATTGCAAGAACGTCTCAAGCGAAACGGGCCAGAGCACCTCAATTCAGGGCATCCCGAAGTAGCCTGAGGGTTCGGAGGATGCCTCAGGCGAAACGGGCCTGAGTGCATCGCGACCCACATCTTGAACCCAGGGATGTCTCAGGCGAACCAGGTCAGAGCACCTCGCGAGCCGCATCATTGAACCCAGAGGTGTGATGTGAGTTGCGAGGATGTCTCAAGCCCATCGGACAAGAGAACCTCAAGTCAAGGCACCTCGGAGCCCGGGGATCCGAGGATGTCTCAAGCGAAGCGGACCTGAGCACCTCGTGAAACGAATCATCAACCCAGAGTTGCGAGGACGTATCAGGCCGAACGGTTAGAGCCAGGGATTCCGAAGATGTCTCAGGCGAACCGTGCCCGAGTGCCTCGCGGAACATACCTTTGACCCAGAGAGGTGAGGACGTCTCAACCGAAACGGGCCCGAGTCATGATCGGAGGATAAGGATGCCCTCAGCCGCTTGCTCTATGCAAGCCTGACAGCTCATCTGGCCAACTGTTCAATGAGAATGCCCAGCCTCCGAGGGATGAGCAGGCGCTCATAGAAAGTACTTGTAAGTCGTATTCACTGAGTGTGAAGGTGAAGCCGTGCCTAGTGCTCAGCCGACGTGATTTCTTCAATCAATCCTCCTCCTCCTCCTCCTCCTCCTCCTCCTCCTCCTCCTCCCTCCTCCTCCTCCTCCTCCTCCTCCTCCTCCTCCTCCTCCTCCTCCTCCTCCTCCTCCTCCTCCTCCTCCTCCTCCCCCCCCTCCCCCTCCTCCTCCTCCTCGCGCGCGTGGGTGCCCGGAGCCCGTGTCACACGGCGATCACGGGCGCGAGGGGCACGGGGGCCGCCGCCTCGCCGCGCAGGCGCGCGACCTCCGCCCTCGCCTCGAAGCCGCGGGGGCAGGGGGGTGCGGCGGGGCTCTCGCCTCCTCCCCCGCCTCCAGCCTCGTGCCTCCAGCCTCCTGCCTCCAGCCTCCTGCCTCGCCCCTCGTCCCCCCTCCTCCTCATGTGCTGGCACGCTCCAAGATCTGCCAGCGGCTGTCTCCAAACGGGGAACTGCGGCAGGCGGAAATGGAAATGAATCCCTGACAGGGGCGTATATGAAGAGGGAGCTTGAAGGGAGGGTTTATTCCAGCATCCTTGATGAGTCTTGGGTTTATACTAGTCCTCCTCCTCCTCCTCCTTCTCCTCATCTTCCTCCTGCTCCTCCCCCTCCTCCTCCCCCATCGACCCTCCATACCGTTCAGATCCATTACAGACAGCTCCTCCGCGCCTGGCCAACAGAAGTGTCAGCAGAGCGGCCCCGGGCGTTTCGCGCGAGAACGCCTCCCCGCGAACGACCCCGAATATGAAAATGTCTGCCCGTTGCACGTGTTCAAAGGCCGTCGCTCTGACAAGATTGCGCGCCGCAGCGCCACGCACACTCGCCCTGAAAGCTTCCAGGGGATGCACCGAAGGAGGGAGTGGCGACACCAAAAGGTACCGATGCAGCTACTCCCCAGGCCTCTCCTGGGGTGCGTTCTGCCCGGAAAGACGAGGCGAACCCAGCGGTGGCGACGAGGGCCTCTCAGGAGGCCCGAAAAGGGGAAAACGAGGGGAGGGTAGAGGCATGGGTACCTTTTCCTCCTCTGAGGGAGGGTGACGTGGCCTTCGTGATCCTGCCGCGTCGCAGACCCTGTCGCCAAGAGCATGGGCTGCAAGGGCCCTCACCCGAGCTCCCGGACCAGGGGGCGCTCGTCTCTCGGGGGAGCACTTCCATGAGTACACGGCGGACTCAGGAGGAGGAGGAGGAGGAGGAGGAGGAGGAGGAGGAGGAGGAGGAGGAGGGGGGAGGGGAGGAGGAGGAGGAGGAGGAGGAGGAGGAGGAGGAGGAGGAGGAGGAGGAGGAGGAGGGGAGGAGGAGGAGGGAGGCGGAGGGAGGAGGACAAGGAGGAAGAGAAGGAGGAGGAGGATGAGGAGGAGGAGGAGGAGGAAGAAGCGGAAGAGGGAGGGCCTTTCTCAGAGTAAAAAGACACCGTGCACACAAGGGCTCATGAGGAGGGGCTTTTGGGACGGGTGGCGGGCGCATGGCAGCATCGTGGATGCACCTTGGTTGTACTCTCATCCTCTCTCCTCCGCCTGCCTCCCTCCTCACCCCTCCTCGTCTCTCCTCCCTCCTTATTCCCCCTCCCCATCCTTCATCTTACCTCGCACATGTTCCTCACTCCATCCTCCTCCTCCTGCCCCTTCTTCTCCCTTGTCGCTCTTATCCTCTTGCTTCATCTCTCATACGGAAAAATTTAAACGTTAGATCGCTGGGATATGTTCATGACTCTAAGTACCCTCGAACCTCCCGCAAGGCGCGTTCTGACTAGGACTTGAAGACATCATCAATGAGATACAAAACACATGGGGAAATCGGATCAAAACGGAACGAACATCGGATCAAGCTGCGTCAACTCGGAATCGAAATCGAATCGAATCAACTGAGAGCCAGGATACACAACTAACTACACTGTGCCAGCCTTGGGCCGCATCGGATCGCTGGGAAATCGAAACGGAATCGGATCGAGCTGGGTGAACACCGAATCGATCGACTCGAAGTGAGCCTTGAAGAACTCAGCCGCGACAGCTAGAGAGGGGCAGCCATGTCGGTATCTCTTGCTCCTCTGATCGGAGTATCAAGTCCGTGCTCAAACTCGACCTCGCTGCCGCGCCCAAACTCGCTCTCGCAGCTGCCCAGCGACGACGGCCACGACGACGAGGAGGACGACGACGACATCGAGGCTAGGCGCCGACGCCGCCACCACCGCCGTCACCGCCGTCGCTTGGCGAAGACGACCACGGTGACGATGACGACGTCGAGGTTCGGCGCACATGCCGACAGCGCCGCCGCCGCCTCCGCCATCGACGCGCGAGGCTGGACCCCATCGACGCTCGACACTCGACGACATCGTGATCGACGCTCGACTCTCGACGCTGGACGCCGTCGACGCTCGACGTCGTCGACGCCCGGCGCTCTGAAATGGACGTCGCTCGACGCTCGACGACGCACGACGCTCGAAGCTCGACGCTCGACGCTCGCCGTCGTCGACGCTCGCAACTCGCCGTCGTCGGCGGGCGCCGCCGTCGGCGTGCGCCTGGTCGCGCTCGGCGCGCAGCGCCTCCAGCTCCGCACGCGCTGCGGCCCTCTCGGCCATCAGGGCGGCGCTCCCGCCGCCGCCGCCTGGCGTCGCCTCCGCGGGGGCCTCGCGCGGCGCGCGGCGCGCGGCGTCGGCGGCGGCGTCGCCGCCGCTCGAGGCTTCGAGTAGGAGATCGGATACAACATCGATGTGCCCCAACATTGGCTTATCTCGTCGAGTCTGGGGAAAGATACGCAGCATGCCCATAGACCTACGAATATTATTTTATAGTGTTCGTAGATTTGACGAAAAAACCGGTGGTAAATCAACTCGGTTGTCGATCTCCTACACGAAAGGCTTGACGCTCGACGTCGTCGACGTCGTCGTAGTCGCCGCCCCCGTCTGAGCCGTCGTCCACGCAGTCGTGCGAAAGTGTTGCGAGGTCCTGTGGAGGTCTGCGGACACTGTCGGAGGACCCCGGAGCTTCCCTGGGGAGGTCTCAGGAAATGTTCGGATGGGCTCCTGCGTGTTCGGAAGTTGGCGGTTACTTCTCATGGTTTGTTGTATGAATTTGCTGGCTTCGGTGATGTTGGACAACTTTCCAACCGTGTCTAAATTTACGCGCTCAGGCAGACCTTATAGTGTTGGCGCCGGCGTTGTCGTCGCCGCCGTCGTCGGCGGAAGAGAGGGAGAACGAGACCCACCCGCGACCTACCCGCGACAAGGCCCGCGACCCACCCGCGACCCATCCGCGACTCACCCCGCGACCCACCCGCGACCCATCAACATTGCTTTTACAAAAAAACAGCGCCTGCGGCGAGCTCGTCGTACAATTAGTAAAACTTCGGCGCCTGCGGCGGGCTTCTTCAGAGCCTCACAGGACTGCCGACGTCCCCGCCGCCCCCTCATTCTTATCCGCAACTGCGGGGTCCTACGTAAGCTTTCGACGGTCCGTGCAGGTTTCTTGGATCTGCGTTGGGCCCCTCCTCCCTGGCACGTGGAGCGCGCCAGCGGAGGAGCAGCCATGGGGGGACGTCCGAAAGCTTATGTTTACGCAGGTCGTCCTTCGTCGGTGTCCCACTTCTGAGAGTGCTCTGGTTGATTCGCCTGCAATGAAGCCTCCCGGATGGGGTCCGACTAAATGAGGTGGGAGGATCGCGCCGCATCGCCGATGCATCGGCGATCCATCGGCGACGTCGGCGATGGATCGGCGACGTCGGCATTTGGAAAATGGGGCTTCCCATCGAGCCGCATCTCCGATGCATCGGCGATGCGGTGCGATCCTCCGACACCATTCACTCGGTCCCTATCGGGGAGACCCAGATTCGACTTCTTGCAGCCGCAGGGCAGCGACGGCGGCGAACCCCGGCAACGACGGCGACGTCGCGCAGCGGCGGCGCCACGACGGCGGCTCCACAACGGCGGCGCGCACCGGCGGCGCGCGGCGGCCGCGCGGCGGCGGGCAGCGACGTCGCCATCAGCGTCGTCTTCGCGTCGTCCTCGTCGTCGTCACCGTCGTCGCCGTCGTCGTCGTCGCCGCCGTCGTCGTCGTCGTCTTTGTCGCCGTCGTCGCCGTCGTCGTCGGCGGCGCCTCTGCCGAGGCGGTCTGCCCCGCCGGGGCTGCGGCCGGCGGCGCGGCGGCCGCCCCAGCCGCGGCGGGGGCCTCCGCGGCGCCGGGGCGGCCCCGGGGCGGCCCAGGCCACCGTCAGCCGTCCGCCGTGCGTCGCCGCCGCTGGCCGTCGTTGTCCTCGGCGTCGTCGTCGTCTTCGCGTCGCCGTCGTCGCCGTCGTCGCCGTCGTCGTCGTCGCAGGAGTCGTCGTCGTCGCGGAGTCGTCGTCGCAGCCGCCGCCGTCGTCGTCGTCGTCGTCGCCGTCGTAGCCGTCGTCGTCGTCATCGTCGTTGTCGTGTCGTCGTCGTCGCTGTCACCGTCGAAGCCGTCGGCGTCGTCAACGTCGTTGTCGTGTCGCCGCCGTCGTCGCCATCGCCGCCGCCGTCGTCGTCGTCGTCGCCGTCGTCGACTTCGTCGTCGTTGCCGCAGGCGTCATCGGCGTCATCGTCGTCGTCCGACGTTTCCGTCGTCATCGTCGTCCGTCGTCGGCATGTTTGTCGTCGGCATCGCGCAGGGCTGCCGAAGCCACCGGGGGGGCCGGCCCGTGCGGCCGCCCCAAGGGATCCTTCTTCCGGGATCGTGCTCGTCTTCGCCTTTCTGGGCCACCCTGGAGGCCCTCTTCGACCTGGCGGGATTCGCTCCGAGATTCTGGTCAGAACGCACCCTGGGAAAGGTCAGGGGAGTAGCGGTATCGGTGCATGTTGGTTTCGGCGCGGGGGGGGGGCTAAGCGGATAAGGAGGATATGTATATATATATATATATATATATATATGTGTATATATATATATGTATATATATGTATAATGCCACGAAGAGGTATGCATGGCCTAACCTGGCTCATGCGTGGGAAACAAATGCCCCAAGTGGCTCAATGGGGGGCTACGGAGCCCACGGGGGGGCCGGCTCGTGCGGGGCACCCCCCCTCCTGTCGCGGGCGAAGAACATATTCGTATTAGCGGCCTCGCGGGCAAAGCCACTGGAGGGCGACCCAGCAGATACGGGGCGTGCTTCGCGGATGCCCCGAGCCGAACGTATCCATGAGACCGCGTATCCGCAAGATCGCCCCCGAAACCAGACCGCGAGGGTGCCGACACGGATATGTTCGCCGCTCGTGAGGATCGGCGCGAGGGGTGCTGCTAAGAGGATTGGGGGGCTAGGAAAGGATGCCACGGCAGAAAGTACTATGCGAGCACACTCGGTTCAAAAATCAGCAGTTTTCAACAAGCCCGTACAAAAAATACGAAAAACGCACGCGCGTGTCGTCGCGCGCGCATACCGGAATCCTTCAAAACTGTCGGTTCGTAAGGATTTCAAATTCGAGCGCCCCGAACATGTATAAACACAGAAGGTTTTACAACATCTAGTTCCAAAAAAACTGCCCTCGCGCTCTTGCCGATCCTTAAACAGAACCATAGGCTTTTCAACATGCTCATCACATTCTGCCAAGTGGGCCTTTCGCACCGCATGTCGAACTTATTCGAACGCCCTTGCGCGCGTGCTGGGAGGGGGCACCATCCGTCTCAAACAACACCACGCGGGCCACTCGCGCGCGTCGGCCGCGTGCGCGTGTCGAACTCCTTCAAAAACCTTCATCGCCGACGCGAATGCATCGTCATCGTTACTGGCAGGAGACCAACATCGGCGCCATCATTGGCCTTGCCGTTGTCATCGCCACCATCGCCACCATCATCGCTACTCTCGAAAGTTTTGCTCGTTCGTCGTCGTCGTCGGCGTCGACGTCGTCGTCGTTGTCGTCGTCGTCGTCATCGTCGTCGCACTCGTCGTCGTCCTCCAAAACGTCGTCGTCGTCGTCTTCGTTCCGCTTGTCGTCGCCCTCGTCGTCGTCCTCCAAGGCGTCGTCGTCGTCTTCGTTCCTCTTGTCGTCGTCGTCGTTGTCGTCGTCGTCGTTGTCGTCGGCGTCGGCGTCTTCCCCTGTCCGACAGGTATCCTGCGTGGTGCAGCCCTGCACTCGGGGGCTCATCGGGCCTGCAGGCGGTGCCTCACTATGAGTTGTTCCAGCCAAGTTGCGGGTGGGAGGATGGGATGTTTGCACGAGCATGGGAGGTGGTTACACGCGGTGCAGTGTGGGCAATTGTACTGCATATGTTGCTCCACACGTATTGCACCACATTCATGGCACTACATAAGAGTACCCCACATATATTGCACAACGTAATTGCGATACGTCGACTGCCAACTCAAATTGCACCACCTAAATCCCGCAGCATGCATGCCTCCACATAGAGTGCACACCATATCTTGCTAGAATCACAGTGTTTGGGGCTCACGATGGCTGACATTGTATTCTCTACTATGTTTTCCGCGCGACGGTGGTAACCGGGGGGGGGGGCAGATCCGCCGGCCCCATTGCAAGGACATCAGGCTGCGAAGATTAGGCTTTCATGCCCCCTGCACCAATTCCAGTCTCAAGTCTCCAATATTACAGTCTTGCTTTCTACTTCCTACCGTGAACTGTTGCTGAACGCGAGAGGAAGGGGAACCCCAAACCAGCTTGTCTACCACGCCCAGATCGCGTTGTCTGAATTCCTGGGGGGGGCGTGGGACACATGAAAATACATAAGACTCGCGTCCCCGAGGCCATAATCCCTCGTCAATTACACGATAGTTGCGTCCACGAGGCCATAACCCGTTTTAAATTATACAATAGTCGCGTCAACCATAATCTCTCATCAATTGCTCTATATTTGCGTCTCCGAAACGAGAAACCCTTATACATTAGGCGATGTTTGCGTTCCCGACGCCATAGACCATCGCTAATTAATCAATACGTGTGGCGCCGAGGCCACAAACCCTCGTAAATTACAATGTTCGCGTCCCCGAAGCCATAAACCATCGTAACTTACCCTATACTCGCGCCGCCGAAGCCATAAACCGTTGCAAATTCAGAGTATTCGCGTTCCCGATATTGGCCCTTGCGTCAAGTCCTGACATTGCTTTAAATCGGCGTCCAGACATCCCAACACAGTTCTGGCAAGTCCCACTCCAAGAGAGAGGGGCCGGCAGCAAGGGGCGAAACCCTACGGATAACCGTAACGCTTCGTTGGGGTGGGGCACCTGTGTAAAGCGAACACCGGCACGCCGCCTGCGAACACCGGCAACCCCCCCCACCCCCCAAACGTACGATCGTTACCGTTACCTGGGAGGGGGGGAGGGGTTTGGCCCGCGTAACGGCCGTTACGCTCCAGAAGGCAAAAAAGAAGTCTCATATCGGTTGGGCACGCGCTGTGCAGCCTTGCTTCGAGTGAACGCGCGCTGGCAAACTTTTCTCATGCGGCCAACGCCCGCTTCAAAGTGCCCCACGTTGCTTCTGATGTATCAGCATACCCGGCCTAGGGGGAGTGTGAGGAGGAGGAGGAGGAGGAGGAGGAGAAGGAGGAGGAGAGGGAGGAGGAGGAAGAGGAGGAGGAGGAGGAGGAGGAGAGGGGGGAGGACAAGTTAGGTGCGCTCGCGTCTACATCTGACATCCTACCCCTCCCTCCCATCCCTTACCATGGCGCTGATTTTCTCTATCCGCGGACGCGTGTCGTAGCGGACCTGTGGCTCCGCGCGCGTGTGCGTAGTGGGTGGTGGTGCGCGTGCGTGCGTGCGTGTGTGCGTGGTTGTGGTTGTTGTGGTGGTGGTGTGTATGTGTGTGTGTGCGTGTGTGCGCGTGTGCTGTGGTGTGACGTGGTGTGGCGTCTTGGTGGTTTGGTGGTGGGCCAGGTGCGTACGTGCGTGATGGCGGTGGTGGTGGTGGCGGTGGTGGTGTGTGTGTGTGTGTGTGTCTGTGTGTGTGCGTGTGTGTGTGTGTGTGTGCGTGTATGTGTGTGTGTGTGTGTGCGTGCGTGCGTGCGTGTGTGTCTGTGTGCTGGTGGTGGGCCAGGTGCGTACGTGCCTGATGGCGGTGGTGGTGGTGGTGGTGGTGGTGGCGGTGGTGGTGTGTGTGTGTTTGTGTGTGTGTGTGCGTGCGTGTGTGTGTGTGTGTGCGTGTATGTGTGTGTGTGTGTGTGCGTGCGTGCGTGTGTGTCTGTGTGCGCGCGCGTGTGATGTGGTGTGACGCGGTGTAGCGTGGTGGTGGTGGGTGGGGTAGTGCGGTGGTGGCGGGCGGTGCGCGGTGGTGGTGCGCGTGCGTGCGTGCGTGCGTTGGTGGGTGGAAGTGGCGGTGGGTGTGCGTGCGGCGGGGCGGGGCGTGGTGCGGCGCGGTGGTGGCGGGCGGATGGGCGCGCGAGAAAGAGGCCCGCGCTGGGGCGAGAACGCCATCCTGAACGACGGAGGCAAAACACCGATCCGAAAATGAGGCCCACGCTGCAGCGGGAGCACGATTCGGAACGATTCGGGAGCAGAAATGAGGCCGGCGTCTCAGCGAGAGCAGCATTTTGAAAAAAAAGCAAGCGAAACCCAACTCCCAGGAATCCTGTGTGTAAAAAAACAGTACGCGGGGGGGGTCTACTACTCCCAGGACGCCATCAGGGGAAGAGGGAGAGTAGTATTCATATTGAGTAATTGTGGAGGAGGAGGAGGAGGAGGAGGAGGAGGAGGAGGAGGGGGATGATTCTCCAGGCCGCTGAACGCCTCTTGGAATGGATCCCTCTCATACGCCGCTGTGCCATCCCCCGAGTACCCACTCCTGCTTCGCGAGGTGTAGCCGCCTGCCCAGATCACTCTGGCGGGAGCTCTCGGGCGCCTGACCGAGCTCCAGCAGCCAGGCACGCAACTCGCGTGTCAAATTCTGCCCATGCCAGCGCCAAGCCGAGGACGAAGGCACGGAACAGCAAATCTGCCAAGTATTCCCGCTTCGCCAACTCGACGGCGGAAGACCGAGACCTCGAAGCCGCTGATGGCCTCCTCGAACAGCTCCCTGTCCTTCTCCGCAATATCACCTGCCAAGTACTCCCGCTTCGCGTTGCACAGCCGCAAGCCCAAATGTCTCTCGTGGGACTGTTCCCGAGCTTTCCCCCAAAGGGAACAACACCAGTATCCAGCAACCAGGCACGCAACTCGCGGCAAAACTCCCCCCGTGGCAGCTGGCGGCCGAAGACCGAGACCTCGAGGCCACTGATGACCTCCTGGAACAGCTCCCTGTCCTGCGCCATATCACCTGCCAAGTACTCCCGCTTCGCCAGACTCAGCCACCTGCTCAAATGTCTCTCGCGGGGGCTGTTCGCGAGTTTTCCCTTAACGGGGACCTGACCAGCATCCAGCAACCAGGCACGCAACTCGCGGCAAAACTCCCCCCATGGCAGCAGCCGGACGTCCACCAAGAGCTCGAAACCACGGATGGCCTTCTGAAACAGCTCCCGGTCCTCCTCCGCCATATCACCTGCGAAGTACTCCCGCTTCACCAGCCTCAACCGCCTGCTCAACTGTCCCTCGAATTGGTCATTCGAGAGCGCACCTCCAAACGGAGCCTCACCGCTTTCCACCAACCAATCACGCAGGTGACCGCAAAACTTGGCGAAGCCCATGTGTAAGAAATGGAGTTGCAAAACGTCCAACCATCGAGACAGCAATCACTCCTCTGCGTCCACCCCTTGGGCAAGCTTGGCGAAAATTCTCTCCCTCAACGTGAATGCTGACATTGGGCGTGGGAGCGTCCCATTATGCTGCTGCTGCTGCCAAGTGCGGACCTTTCTATACATATGTCCGACAGAATCCTCCAAGGATGGTAAGCTGACGTTGATCTCGTGAGCCTCCGTCATATCCCAAGACACAACGCCCAGGAATCCCTTCTCGAAAACGTCCGCGCTCTCTTCTCGCACGGGAGCCTCAAATGCTTCTTCTTCTTCTGACACTGGAGAAAACTATTGCTTGCCACCGGAGCTGGAAGAAAGCTTGCTTGTCTCCCTCTATTCTGTATTATGTCGGGGAGGAAGTCCAACAAACGATCTTTGCCCAGGACCGGAAACATATCCATGTGTACGGGGCTGATCACGAGGCCACAGCTCTTGTTGTGATGAAGGCGCGAAACTCGCATCGAAAACTGCCGCGACCAAAGGCTACTTTTGTTCCTGTAGCCCCCGAAGACAACTGTGTGGAGAGCGTTGATAGAAGTACCCTCGCGGGTAACTTTGCCCGCAATGATCGCTTGCAGCCTGCCACTCTACGTCTCGCTTCATTTCGGAGCTTGCCTCTCTGCTGGTGGATCCATCTACACTCGGCCTTGAGCACGGAGTTGAATACCACGAGCGTGGGGGCCCACTCGTCCACATTCGTGGCGCACATCTGCAAAAGTGCTCCGGTCCTATCTTCTGTGTTGACGATAAGCATGTGAACACACATGTCCGAAACGAAACCGCTCTGCACCCCGCGCGCGCCCGCCGCGCCCGAGGCCGCCGGAGGCCCCCCCCGAGCGCAGCCACCCGGCGGGGAGGCTCGCCCAGGCCCTGGGCGGGGCCCCGCCGGCCGCGCCCGCGGCGGCGAGGCCAGGGGCCGACGGGTGGCTCCAGCGCAGGGACAGGACGTGCCACAGGCCCGCGGCAGCAGCGGCGGCGGGCACCCGGACGCGGCGCCAGCGCACGCGGCGGCCTCTGGTCGGGTGTCGCTAGAAGTGCTCCTGGCCAAAGGCGCCCCCAGGATTTTCAGAGACGCCCCCACGGCCTCCTTGGAGCACTCCATTACGAGGCCCAAGGGGCTCCAAGACAGGGCAAAAAGCTGGGGGGACCTTGGGTCAGGGGTACCTTCAGCAGCCCCCGATCTGGGAAGCTGCAGTTCGAGAGCCCTGGGCCTGAACGGGCGTCCCGAGCCAACGGCTTGAGCCACGTCGTCTACGGAAGGAGAGGAGGGGGAAAACGCAGGAGCGAGAAGGCGGAGGCAGGGGGAGGATAAGCCCTCTACCGTGGCAGCATGACTGTCCAGGCCAGCACGCGGTCAGAAGGATGGGGCCGAACGGGCTTGCACTGCCCCTGTGCGCGGAGATGAACAGGTGGCTCCACTGTGTGGATCAGTGTCGTGCTGCTGCTGCCGTGTGGGTCCCCCCATGTGGCAAGGGCTACAGCCAGCAGTGTGGGCGAGGCCGAGGCCGAAGCGCAGGTTGAGCCTGTACGCCTTGAGGCGCAACGGTGCCATCTGACAACATGGCATGCTGTCAGATGGCACTACTACCCCAGAATCCCCGACGCCATGCTTTCTTCACGACGTCGACCCCCAGAGCTCTAGAGGTCTCGACTCGTTTCCTGGGACCGTTGTTTCGTCCCGCCCCATTTGTGAAGATCCCGAGGGCCGGTAACGGCCTCAGCCTCGTCGTCGTCGTCGTCATCCTCGTCATCGTTCGTCGTCGTCGTCGTTCGTCGTCGTCGCCGTTGTCCGCCGTGATTTTCGTCATGTCTCGAGGGGGCCTGAGACCCCTCCAGGCTCAGCCTCAGCCTCAGCTATCGCCAGCCTTCGCCCCACCCCGGGAGAAACGGGGGCGATGTCGACCCCTGTCCCAGGCCTCGTGGGGTTTTCAAGTGGACCAGAAACTTGAAGCCCAACCCTGGGATATACAATGATGGGGTGTCCATCCTCGATAGGGGTGCGTCCGAACAGCCCCCTTGGGGCGAATCCCATGGTTTTCCTCCTTTTCTGAGCGGTGTGCTGGACCGGACTAGATGCCAGAATGGGGCCACGAAGGGTCCGGTATACTAGGTATTCGCCGTATACCAGAATCAAATGTGCCGTTCGAATGCCAGACCCATTTCTCACACGGAGGGTATACTAGATACCAGAATGGGGTGTGAGGGATGGGTCCGGTTCAGAGGCCTCCTAGATGGGGTCGGAATAGATGGGCGATGCATCGGCGATGCATCGGCGATGCATCGACGATGCGCCGGCGATGCATCGTCGACGTCGGCGGTGCATCGGCGACACCGGCATGGAGAACATCGGGCCCCGCATCGAGCCGCATCGGCGATGCATCGGCGATGCGGATCGATCCTCCGAGGCCACCTGCTCCGACCCCCTCTGGGAGGCCTGGAGTTATGTTGTTCTCATCCCACTCAAGGACCACATCCCAGAAATAATTTCGAGCACCCCGAAAAGTGTCAAAAGAGTGTCGAAACAGTGTCGGACGAATGTCTCCCAGGGCCCGACACGTGAAAACCCTCGAGTTTGGGGGGCACTTTTCTGGCGCTCGAGATTCCCTCTGGCGGTCAAGGCTAAAGCAGGTTGGAACATCATAAGCCTAGAGGTGCGATGCCCAGGCGAGCGGAAGACGACGGCGAAGAAGACGAGCCAACCACAGCGAGGGGGGCTCCGCTCCCCGAGCTCCCCTGGGGCACGGCCCGGGGCCCTCCGGGAGCGGTCCCGGGAGGCCCGGAGGCCACCAGGGGGCGTCCTGGCGCCATCCTGGGGCCTCTCGGAGGCACGTCGGGCTCGGAGGCCCTCCTCAGCCTCCTCGGGTCTTCGTGGGCCCAGCTTGGAAGACATCGGGCAAGGAAGGGGGGGCTCCCAGTCAGCGCTGCCCCTCGAGCGTACCTCGAATCGTGCAGCCGCCGCCGCCGCCGTCGCCGTGGCCGTGGTCGTCGCCGTCGTCGTCGTCGCCGTCGCTGTCGCCGTCGCCGTCGCCGGCGCCGTCGCCGGCGCCGTCGCCGTCGTCGCCGGCGCCGTCGTCGGCCTTTTCGATCGAGGTTTGAGGAACGAGACTCGAGGCTTGAAGGCCCTTCTGGGCCTTCGTGGTGTGGAAGTCCTTGGAGCAGAACTTCCTCCCCAAAAACATTCGAAGGCCTCTCGCGGCGAGGGCCCGTGCAGAGACCCCCTCCCCACGGGGCAGCGGCAAGCGGCGCCTCGCCCGCCCCAACCCTCGGCTGAGGTGCTCCGAGAGGGCCACGACGACGAGGAGGACGAGGGGAAGGGGCAGGGACGAGGAGGAGGCGGAGGACGACGAAGCCCCCATCGTCGTCCTCCTCCTCCTCCTTCACATCATCCTCGTCCGCGGCGCCCCCCTCCTCCTTCGCCTCTTCCCTGTTCACGATGAGGACCTCGTCGTCCTCCTCCTTCGCTGCCTCCTCGTCCACCTCCGAGGCACTCCCCGTCCACCTCGCCCCCATTCCCATCTCCCTCGCCACGAGGGGGACGAAGGGGGGCGAGGTGGACGAGGAGGGGGGTGAAAAGGAGGAGGGGGAAGCAGAGGACAAGCGAGCGAGCGGATAGCCGAGGGTCACGTCGACGACGGAGGGGAGGACACGGGATGGAGGAGGAGCAGGGGCACCCCCGACGCCTCTCGACGAGGCGCGGCCGCTGGGGGGAAGCACCCTGGAGACCGAAAAACAAACAAAAAACCAAGGGCAAGCGAACGGAAAATACAAGACGCGATCCAACGACGGCAGCCCGTGCCGAACCCCCTCCGCTAACGGCGGGGAGGCGTCTCGCCCGCCTCGGCAGGGTGCCACCAGACGAGGGCAGGGAGGAGGAGAGAGGAGGGGAGCTGGGGGGGAAGAAGGGGAGGGAGAAGCAGGGTGCGAGGAGGAGGAGGAGGAGGAGGAGGAGGAGGAGGAGGAGGAGCAGGAGGAGGCGGAAGAGGAGGAAAAAGAGGAAGAGGAGGAGGAGGAGCTATTTTTTTCTGACATGGGGGAGGACGAGGGGTAGCAAGACCAGCGAAACAAAGAGGGGGATGATGATGATGATGATGATGATGATGATGATGATGATGATGATGATGATGATGATGATGATGAAAATGATGAAAATGATGATGAGGAGGAGGAGGAGGCGGAGGCGGAGGCGGAGAAGGAGGACGGGGACGACGACGACGACGACGACGACGACGACGACGACGACGACGACGACGACGACGTGGGGAGGCGGAGCGTCGCCGCCGCGCCCGCCTCGGCGGAGTGCGCTGGGGCCTGCTCGGCCGCCTGCTTGGCCCGCGGGGGCAGCGGCGCCCCCGAGACCAGGGACCTGGTGCCGGAGGGGATGGTGGCGGCGCGCACGAAGGGGGTATAGAGGGCAGAAAACCCACCCCCACAGTAATCACCCCGACACGCGAAGCCGCTTCGTAAACGCACCCACGGAGGGACGCGAACAGGGCAGGGCTGTGTAGTAACCGCCCCGGGCCGTGTAGCAAACGCCAGTTATTGCGTCCAGGTGGTTTTCCCTCCCTTGAGGTTGGGAACATGGAAAATTGACACCAACACTACCAGGGACCAACAGCGGGAGGAGCCAGGAGGGAGTGCCCCTGGTGGTGTGGTCCTCCCTCTCGCTCGAGACATCCCCTTCTCCCCAGCTCGAAGAGGCATCGTGGACCTCCTTGCTGGAAGTGGCCCCCCTGGCGGTGTTAGTGTCGCTTCTCCTTCCCCCCAGGGCCAAGGGGTGGAGGAAGGCTTCTTACGTAGAAGTAAGACGAAGCCGGGACGAGGAGGAAATCGGGTGAGGGTAAAACGAGAAGCTCTGAGATCCATCGGCTCTGGAGAATGTCTCGGGCGCCGTGGCCTTCTCACAGACGGGGTCTTACGCGAGATGGCATAGCGACCTTGCACGGCGGTGGCTTACGGTGGCACGCCAGCGCAGCACGCCACACTGAGGACGAGGGCGCTTACGCGCGACCTTACGCGGGCAGTTTGCGCGCCAATGTCGGCGCAGACCCCCGTGTTTGTTGTGCGTTGCCCATCCTTGGCGGTGCGCACAAAGGGTGTAGGAAGGGAAAGGAAGCCTTCTTAGAAGGAAGCTGTTTCTTAGTAGGCGTCGGCGTTACGTCCATAGATGAAGCCCGATGTTCTGGGAGGCAAGGATGCTATTAAAAAGGCCTTCCCCCTCCTTCCACCCCCCTCTTCGCGTGGCTGAGGAAGAGAAAAGGGACCCGGGTCAAGGCTGAGATAGAGGCCTCCCAAAGAGGGAACAGAGCTGATGGGGTCCAAGGATCGTGCCGAATCGCCCATACCGGGGGGGGTCGAGGGTCGAGAATAGGAGTGCTCAGAAGGAGCGAAGAAGAGCGAAAAGGATCCAGAAAGAGGGACGAGGAAACGATCGAGGGGGGGGACCAGGGCCCAGTACCCTCCAGCAGAGGAGAAGGAGGGGGAGCGAGAGACCCAGACGTAAACTCTGCGTGAAAAGCGGTCCATGGAGGGAGGTCCAGGCCTCTGCCGGACCACGGTGTAAAACAGCACGGCGTCGGAGGCCTGGGTACCAAGAGGAACGAGGATCGAAGAGGACCTCGTCGCCCTCCTCATCCTCCTCCTCGCTTTGCGAATAAATCATGGAAACAAGTGTTTCGACAAGTTTGTCCGAACAGTCCCTGCACGTAAGGATTCTTCCTTGTCCGTCTAACGGAACTGGGCGTCGACGTTGCCATGATACCGCGCCCGCTCAAGTCGCCGACTTGCACCGAAGCGCCCGCAGGGAAGTGCCCAGCGGTCAGCGCCACCGCGGCCGCGTGGGTCGCGCCAATCTAGCTGGCGGCTGCGCGCGCGAGCATGCGCGCTAAAGCAGCCACGGCGATGCGCCAGCCAGCGCCGAGCGGTCATCGCAATCGCCGCCGCATGGGTTTTGCAAACCAGATTGCGGGTAGGTGGGTGGAATGATGAGCGAGCAGTGGAGCTTACAAGTTCAAGTTCGGCAAAGTGAATTGCACCGCATATATTGCACTAGATTGGTTGCCCAACATGCGTTGAATTACATGAGCAATACATACATTGCACCACATAGATGCCACAACATAGACCGCACGAGATATATTGCACAACATCGATTGCACAACACGAATCGTCCCACAGAGATTGCACCACATAGATTGCGTCGCATAGATTCTCCATTCGGTTGTATCTTAAACAAAAGGGAAAACAAGCAACAAACAAAAACTGTTCTACCACCCTCTCCCCTCCTGGGTTAAAGACCCCACGGGAACCGATGTAAAACACATAAAATGCTGATCCAATGTGCATCCGACCTGTGAATTCATACTATCACAGCCAAGCCGGTATCGCTTCCCCCCGCCTTCCTCTGCAACAAGAGCTTTGCACGCACACTCGTTTATCAAACATCAGAAGTTGCCAAGAATCCGGGCGATCCACGAAGGCTCCAGAAACCATAGCAACGGCCCAGGAAAGCCGCAGGACGGTCCCAAGAGGGCTCCTAACGGGCCAAGAGGGCTCCCAAAGGCTGTCCGAACGGCCCACGCGGGGGACGATTCGGTCCAAACCGCCCAAGATTGCCTCCAGGCAGCTCCATGGGCTTCCAAGACGCTTGCATACGCGACCACGAGGCGCTCCAAGCAGGCCTCCAGCAAAAACCGTCCCATTCCCGAGGGGAAACATACATGTTCAGCATATTCGCTTCTTGGGATTCCACGAAGCCCAAACGGCCCAGTAAACCTCTAATATCGACCTCTGGCACCCCAAGAGACTCTCCAAAAGGCTCCACGACGGCCTCCGGGCGCCCCACGAAGGCCCCAGAAATCATAGCAACGGCCTGGGGGAACGGCAGGACGGTCCTAAGAGGGCTCCAAAACGTGTCTAGAGGGGCCTCACAGGCTGTCAGGACAGGGCACGCGGGGGACGACTGCTGCCGCCCCAAGGGGCCGGCGGTGTGGCGTAAGCCAATGAATCGAAAGTTATCAAGAATCCCTTGCGTAAAAAAAGGGGCGAAGTGCACCGCGCGCGTCGTCGCGCGCGCATGCCGAGATCCTTCAAAACTCTCCGTTTCGGAAGGATTCCAAAATCGAGTCTCCAAAACAAATGCAAACAAACGTGATATCGCAACACTGATCTTGGGAAAAAGCTTACGCGCGCTCTCTTGCGAAATCTTAAGAAAACCATAGGTTGTTCAAGATTCCCCCCCCCCAAAGAAAAACCACCAAACGGGTTTTACGCGCGCGCATGTCGATATCTTTCGAACGCCCTTGCGCGCGTGCCGTCGCGAGACCACTCTGCAAAAAACGTGACGGAGTGCGCACGCGCGCGTCGTCGCGCGCGCATGCCGAAATCCTTCAAAAACTTTTGGTTTCGAAAGGATTTCAGATCGAGTGTCCCAAAAACATGCTTGTATATATATATAACACAAGGTTTCGCAACAATGATTTTCAACAAAAGCGTGCGCGCGCGCTCTTGCGTCGTCGTCGTCGCCGTCCTCCCTCCTCCCTCATCTGCGTCGTCGTCGCCGTCGTCGTCCTCCGTCTTTCCTCGTCAGGGTCGTCGTCGTCTTGGCGTCGTCGTCGTTTCCGTCGTCGTTGTCGCCGTGGTCGTCCTTCCTCCCTCGTCGTCTTCGTCGGCGTTTCGTCGGTGTCCCTCCTATTTCGTCGCCGTTGTCGTCGTCGTCGTCTTCCCTCCTCCCTCGTCTTCGTCGTCGTCAGCGTCGCCGTCCTCCCTCCTTCATCGTTCGCGTCGTCGTCGTCCTCCCTCCTCCCTCGTCGTTGTCGTCGTTGCCGCCGTCGTCGTCCTCCCTCCTCCCTCGTCGTCGTCGTCGTCTTCGTTGGCGACGTCGTCGTCGTCTTCGTGGTCGTCGTCGGCGTCGCCGTCGTCGTCGTCGTCGTCACCGGCGTCGGCGGCGTCGTCGTCGGCGTCGTCGTCGGCGTTGTCATCGTCGCCGTCGTCGTCGTCGGCGTCGGCGTCGTCGTCGTCGTTGTCGTCGTCGTCGTCGAAGTCGTTAGAGACGTCGTCGGTGTCGCCGTAGTCGTTGTCGGCGGCGCCGTCGTCGTCGTCGTTGTCCCTGTCGTCGTCGGCGTCGGTGTCGTTGCTAAGTGCGGTTTGGTACCCACCGTCACGGTCTTAAGAGGTCTTGCGACCAAGTTGCGGGTGGGAGGGTGGGATGTTTGCACGAGCAGTGGAGAGGACAGCCTCAAGTTGAGCAAGTGGTTGACTGCACCACAGAGGTTGCACCACAGATATATGGCTCCACGTAGACTGCAAGCATAGACTGCCAGAAACACACTCCTGACATTCTGGCATCTGCGGGCCTTTCCCTGCTCCGCGACGGTCAAGAAACGACTCGGGATGGAAAAAAAACGGCCCCGCGGAAAAGGTCCGGACCTCAAGGGGATTGTGAAGATGTTTTGCCTGCGCGGCACCAAGCTGACTCAATACTCCCGATGTGGCTGGCGAGTCCACCGAGGGCCCTAAAACGAAGATCAGTCGGACCCCGGCTCTGCTCAGCCGAGGCAGACGACTGCACCTCGCCACCTCCAAGAGCCGCAGCACCTACGGCACAGGGCTCACTTCGCGAGCGCCGCCCTCCTCCTCCTCCCTCTTCCTCCTCCTCCTCCCTCCTCCTCCTCCTCCTAGCCGCCGTCCCGGCTCGAGGGGCCCTGGGGGTTACCAGGTAGCCGCGCCCCTCACTTACGGGACTGCTGCTATACGCGCCGCTTGTTCGCAGCCGCCATAGCGCTGCCCCGCGGCCGTGCTGGCCGCCGCCGTCACGCAGGCCGGGCCTTAGAGCCTGCGTGGCACAGGCGAGCCCGAGCGGACCGCTCTCGTGCTCGCGTCCTCCTCCGCCTGGAGGCGGCGCGTCGACTGCTACAACGTCACCACAGTCGACAGCAAGTACGACCCGTCGACATGACCAAGGCTGCCCCTGCCGTCACATGGGCGCCGCCTGCTTCTCCCTGGTCCTGTTCTACCTGTTCCTGCAAGAACTGGCACGACCGTGTGGATTGTCGCCAGTGTGGCTCGCCCAAGCCCGATGCCCCGCCGTGGCGCCGCCCGCCGAGGCGCTCTGGCAGTGCCCCCCCTGTGCAGGATGGGGCGCGGGGCAAGGGCAGAGGCAAGGGCAGGGACAAGGCCGCTGGCAAGCCTCTCGCTCTTCGAGATGCACCGCCGACGGCTGCAGGAGGCTCTGCTCCCAAGGACAAGGCCAAGGACGAGGTCGAAGTGATGGGTCTGAGCTCCTCCGACGAGTACCGCTCGGCGAAGGAGATCTTGCACATCCGCCCCGCGCTGCCGCAGGTGGCTCGTGGGCACCCCAGGTGGCGG